TGGACAGTTTCCTTTTTTTTTTTTTTTGATTTGGGATAGATTACATAGGAGTATGCTGTACATAAAAGTAAAAGCTAGTGCTTTGTCTTAGTAGTTTTAAGAAATTACAACAAATTAAGTTTTCTTGTATTGAAAATAACATGATTGTATGTTTTGCATTCCTAGAAGTAGGTTAACTGTGTTTTTAAATTGTTATAACTTCACACCTTTTTGAAAATCTGCCCTACAAAATTTGTTTGGCTTAAAACGTCAAAGCCGTGGCAATTTGTTCCTTGATGTGATTGTATTTCCAATTTCTTGTTCATGTAAGATTTCAATAAAACTCAAAAATCTATTCAAAACATTACCTATTTCAAATTCAATTGTGTCCTAAAACATTATTTCATTGGTAATTCTTGCGAAAAACATTGTTTTCAAAGTATAACTGCCTATGTGAGTGATCAAATTCATGCAAAATTTCTTGTGCTTTCCAACATGTAGCACTGTGGACATCAGTCTGAAAACTAGCAGAAATTACAGATCGCCCAAAGGGCACTCTTTGTTTAAGTGCTGTTCAGTAACTTACCAGCATCTAATTTTGAAACTTTTTTTTCTTTTTAAAAGTGTTGAAATGTATCCAAACATTCACAGAGATCTAATTTAAATACAATTTTCTAATGTAATGTGGAGAAGGAAGCAGAGCCTACAATGGTGTTAATTTTGTTCCTTTTTATTATGTACTGTGGAGTCCCTCTAGAGGCTATTCTGTTAGGGTCCAGCCATATTGTATTATTCAGTGTACAAACACATAGGGAAATGGTTTTGATCTCAAGCATCTTAGTCTAATTTAAGATAATATTTGACTAGGGATAAGAATTATAAAGTAGGTGCTGTGGCACAGTAAACTAACTTCTTGCTACAGATAACACAAACATACTCTCCATATTCTGCTTATTTCTGTCTTGACATTTTAATTTGATGTTCTGCCATGATGAACAATTTGCCTTAGAATTCTCATGCCTTGTAATAAGGCTGTTTAAAAAAAAAACCCATAATATCTTTTGGGGGCATTACTATCTACATTATTGGGGTATTATGTGTTGCTTTGACCCTTGTCTTGGACATTCCCAAATGTCAATTTTAACTGGCAAGTCATGACATTACTCTTCTGTCGCATCTGAGCCATTCTGTACCCCAATGAAGAACATTTGCTTCTCAAGAAAAGAGAGAAACAAACGGATTTAAACTTTCTCTAAAGAAAACTATTGCCGGACCTCTAAATATCCAAATCAAACATGTTGCTCACACTTGATTTACAGCATTCTAAACACAGACTATTGAGGAAGTTAAACTTCAGTGGTCATACTCCTCCCTTTGTCTTCTATTCCTGTCTGGTGTCTCTCAAGTGTGTTATGTCAGAATGTAAACAGAAAAATGAACCTTCCCACACTTCACTGTTGTGGGTCTGGTATATAATTGCATGGTTTGAGTTTTGACATGAATTGAAGTGAGGATGTCTGTCTGGTTCTCAAAAATGGGTTTGTCCCTGTGTCAGGCTCTTCCTTTCAAATTAATAGAATTGGTCATAAATAATTTAAAGTGCATTTCAAAATCAGTACTTAGTGTTGTTAAAGCCCGTTTTGGTTTTTTGGCTTGTTTTTTTTTTTTTAACTTCATAAAGTTAATGGGGCCAAATCCTGTCCTCTCTGTTCCTTACTTGAGCAGTGAAGTCAGAGGGGTATTGCCTGAGTATATGTTTCGGACTTTTGCTTGTGGGATCTGGCTTGTAATTTTGTTCTAATACAAGGGGGTGCTGTCCTATCAGTATGCGTTTATAGTAATTATATAGCTTTTGTGGTGTTGAGCAGAACCCTGTAGTCCCAATGCTTTTCAGTAATCATTGTAAAGGGGATCTGGTACAAGGGAGCTTAATTGGAATGAAATTTAAAGTACTGTCTATTCTGGAAGAAATGTAGTGTTCATGTACTGCACATTTTCACCTCTCCTAGCCCAGGAGAGGTGAAGTGCCAGTGCATGCTTATGGGGGGTGTGGGGAGGAAGTGAAACACTTCAGTTATAATGTTTACAAAACAACTAAGGAACAAAAATGTTAAAATTGTCTTCCTTGAGAATTGTAAATCTGCATCTTGTATTTATTCCTGCCCAAATCACCATTTATCCTAATATTTTTATTGAATATGAGAAGTGAGCTATACATTTTTATAATTGAAAATTAAAATCCATAAAAGTTTATAAGATGTACCAAGTTCTATTTACACAATGTATGGATACTCAGATCCACCATTTACATTTGCAGCAGTGCTGAATTCTTAAAGATAACGCGTACTACAACTTACTCGAGTAGTGGTGTGTACTGAACTTGAAGAATTTAAATTATTGAAAAAAATTACTGAACAAAGATACTGTAGCACAGTGGAAAAATCCTACCATGCCTGATGGCAGATACTCAAGGGAAGAATTTTGCACTATCTTCTCAGCACAATTTTGATATATAGTCAAAACAAAAAATAAATTTACTCTCATGCATCTGTTCTGATTGTTTCTTCAGTACAACTTAACAAAAATCCTCCTATAGATTATGTTGAAAATGTATTTCAACTTGCAAACCAATATTAAACTTCTATGAGTGTCCTGCTGGCGTTGGAGAAGGAGCCATGAAATGGAATTTTAATAATCATTTGATCACTCATTTATAGCAGTTGCTTAAATGTCTGTATTGATTAGGTGTTTGACTTAAAAATAAGTAGGTTGCCAGATTCCTAGCAATTCCAAAACTTAAGCGAAGGATTTTTACATCTGTTATGTTATTGTAGACTTACTTTCACATTCTTAACACAGTTTACTAAACTCGGCTTTTAATTTTACTAATTCATTAAACGTAGTCTGCATTTTTTGAAAGCATTACAGGTTTAATTTTTTGTAGCAATTGTTTATTTTCAGGACTCAGCTTCTGTAGTCTAATTATTCAAAAGAATGACAACTGCGTTGCTTAAACATATTCAAAATAAACTCTTAAGTAGAAGATCACCGCATGATTTTGGTGACTCTGTATGAAAACCTGACCACTTTTTTATCCCCTCTGCATTTGGACATGAAGCCCATTTGTGTATTTTAAACGACACAGAAAAAAAAAAAATAAATAGAAGACACTCTTATTATAAGGCTAGCAGAAAAATAAATGTGAAGTATTGAGCAAAAAGTCTAAAACCTCTTAGTAAAACACGTTTGGCACCTAGACCTTTTGACTCTAAGGCAGATGTTTGTATTTTCAGCAAGAGTTAATAACTTCCCAAAAATGACAGTGGCCCATATGTAGAACAGCAAGGACCATAACCTTCAAATGTGTCATGAATAGTCTTTGATCATGCGTGACTTGAGTTGGAGTATTTGTGATTAAGGATTGCTTGTACAATGAAGGTTTCCCAGATTGAATTCTGTCCT